CTTTACTCCAGGTGCCTCATACAGAGCCACAGGAGGAGTCTGCCAGTACTTGGTAACTGTTTGCCAGGTGACACCTTCACACACAAACTGCTTCCTAAGGTACTTCAGAGAGTCACTTCTACAGAGGAGACTTTTTGAAGAACAAGAGAAACTTTTGTCAAATTTGCCCCAGAGAAGGTAGGTGAGGAGCGAGGCCAGGAGGAATGACCTGCGTCATGCATCAGCAGTCCTTACAGGAGGCAGAAAAGCCCCTTATGGGAGCAATTAGAAAGTAAGAGCACACAATATCTTTCACTTATTTATTAGTTTAAAAAAAAAAAAAGAAAAAAAAGCCGAATACATTTAGTACCTTACAAATGTGACATATCAATACTTCTCAGAAAAGGCATACAGCTAACTGCTGAGCAGTTTGTTTGTCCTTGTACCTGAACGCATTATATTCCCTCAGAGCCATTAGGCCAGCTCTGCACTCTCAGCACAGCCTCTGTGCTTGCTGCCCTTCCCTCACCTGTCTGCATGGAGAGCAGACCCATGACCTACTTTACTGCATCTATCGTTCTTCCACACTTCAAACTTCATGAGGGATTCAAGGGAACTAAAACCAACATGAAATCAAATAGCTCCCAAAGCCACCCTCCTCCACAAAGCTTGCTGTGTAGATGATGATCTATTATTTAGGAATAGCTTCTGGACAATCTCATATTATCCAGAAGGTCCCTACGTGGTTTCAGCAGAAAACTGCTCACTCCAGGGAGATGATAGGAATGATGTAAGCCTGGGCTGTATTACCAGACAGAAAACATCGTGTTTAGAAGACTGATACAAAGTGGAATGGAATTGTGCCTGAAAAGAAACAGCCTACTGATGCCAGCATGCCTTACTCCCCAGTTCCAGCCACAATGTCTTGGCCTCAGTGCTTACCAATGATAGGAACAACTCACTTGCCACAGTTCTGAGGCATCATCAGCCCAGTCCTTTCCTTCCTGCTCTGCTCATTGAAAGGGATAGATCTCACACACTAAGTACCTCTGTGCAAAGGAAGTCTGAATTTCCCAGCACAGCATATACACTAGGCAGTGCCAAGGAGAGCATCTCAGTGAGTGCAACTGGAGAAAACAAGTTTCCTGATCAGAACTGCCCAACTAATCAAAGGCACTGGAAGCAGTAGCAAGAAACGGAGGGGGGGAATGCTACACCTACACCATGCTCCTCCGTACCAACGGGTAGGGTACCGTCATTATGTGAAGTGTACACTAAAGCGTAAATTTACACTTTATGAGCTATTCTAAAATCTGCCCTGCTTAATAATCTGCATCAGCAAGAAAACACTTTAAAGTGTCTCTCACAATTAAACCCAGGCACAACCTTGTATAAATCAAAATTTTGCTACCATATCAAAACGTTACACTGGGGCTGTATAATGTTGCCCATATCCTCATTACATGCTACACTAATTACTACCAGCAGATTCAGAATTTTCTGCACATTAGAGGCTTTTAGAGGAGCTATAAAAAATTTCAGGCACCATTAATTTAAATTTGTATTGAAATTTCCTTTTGACAGATGGCCAAAAATTACTTATTATTTAGAGTACCAGAGCTGCCTGTTTGCACATTAGAAGAGGAAAGGGAAAAATTAAAAGCAAGAAAGAAATTTATGTCACGTTCATTACCTGTTAAATGTTAAGGAGTATTATCCTGTATGAATAAATTATTTCATACAAGCACACAGACTCCAGCTGCTGGCAACTGGCACATTCTGGCTGACAAAAAACATCTCAAGTCACATAGCAGATGATCATAAAAAGCCCCTCTTAACCAGGAGCCACTTAAGGGAGGACAGATCGATAGAACAAGCAACTAACTGCTACTCTGGGCATCACTGAAAACATTTAAGGAAATTAGCAAACTATTTCACCTTGCAGAGCTGGAAGCAAGCCCTGTAATGCTGACAAACAAGGCAACTCACAACCTGAACACAGTATGAGACAAACATTTACTTGTCGTTTCGAAATAAATTAGTACATAGTGGTGACACCCTCTTCTCAGTCTCAGAAGCTGTATGGATAACAGTGTGTTTGAATCATTCTAAGTAACTTCAGAACAACCAAAATTGGCCTTTTCACATAAACACCACCACATATTTTCATATATTCATACTTTCATATTTATTCATACCAGCATAAAAACTCAACATCCCACAGATATTAAAGGAACAGGACTAATACATTTAATATAATCACATATTTAAATAATATACTTAGTTATATTTGATACACTAGCAGTCCTATTCATTCACCCTCCTGAGTGAAAGGTCTGTGATTTCAAGTATCCAGGGAAGCAAATCTACTTTAAGAAATAAAGTGTTTTTTATATTCGCAGGTTTAGATATCTGCCTTACCTGTACTTTTTTGTCTACGTGCAGGGACAAAAGGAAGAAGAAAATCTACTAAAATTATTTGCTCAGAGAGAACAAGGGATGTTCTGCCAAAATCGTCATTAATCTGTGCCTGCTTTCACTGCACAAAGCAATAATTCCAGTTTCTAGCTCTCATGACAAAGAAGACAAAGTGAAATCCGACATGTTGTTTTCCTATGTTTGCAGATAGACAGCTTCAATGCCTTCACTGCTCACAGTAAAAACTGACAATTCCTGTCAGCTCCCAGTTCTTATGCAGAACCATGTGGCTAACAGTAAAATTGACAACAATCGGCTCCATTTCATTCTGTGGGGACGCAGTAAAGTTGCCAGTGGCAGAATCAGATATGTGGGGATGTGCGCAGGGCATGTGCCCACCCACAGGTGCTGTAAAAACAAGGGTATGTCTCCATGCACAGCAACCCCCAGGGAACAGGACTCTGGCAGGCAAATCCTAGCACTGTGCTTCTCCTGATTCTGTATTAATCACGAGCTGAGGACAGAATCACACAATATCCTCAGTTGGAAAGGTCCTACAAGGATCACTAAGTCCTACTTCTGGCACTCCACAGGACCTCCCAAAAATCAAACCATAGTTCTGGGAGCACTGTGCAAACACTCCTTGAAACTCTGGCAGCTTGAGGCCATGCCCACTGCACTGAGCAGGCTGTTCCATGCACACTGCCCTCTGGTGCAGAACCCAACCCTAACCCCCAGCTGCCCTCCCCTCACACAGCTCCATGCCATTCCCTCGGCCCTGCCGCTGTCACACAGAGCGGAGCTCAGCGCTGCCCCTCCGCTCCCTGTGAGGAGCTGCAGCCGCCATCAGGCCTGCCCTCAGCCTGCCCTGCTTTGGGCTGAACGCACCCAGGGACCTCGGCTGATCCTCACACACCTTTTCTCCAGACCCTGCATTATCTTTGTAGCACTCCTTCAATGCTCTGTAATGGTTTTATGTTCCTCTTACATCGTGAAGCCCGGTGCTGCACCCAGTGCTGAGGCGAGGCTGCACAGCACAGAGCAGAGCAGACAGCCCCTCCCCTCGCCCACTGGCAGTGCAGGGCCAGTTACAGTTGGCCCTTTGGGCTGCCAAGGCACACTGCCGGCTCATGTTCCTCTTGCTGTCAACCACAGTCCCCAAGCCCCTTTCTACAGGGATGCTTTCCAGTCTGTCATCCCTCACTCTCTACAAATACCAAGGCCGCACCATTCCAAGTGCAAAATTCAGCACCTGCTCTTGTCAAACTTCATGGGATTAGCAACTGCCCAGTCCCCTAATTTGTCAGCATCCCCCCAAGGAGACCTTTCTACTCTCAAGGGAGTCAACAGCTACTCCTATTTTAACATGGGCTACGAATTGGCTCAGTATGCATCCAAATCACTTACAAAACATTGAAGAGAACTGTCTCTGTAATGGAGTCCTAAGGGACATCCTGCTGACCATTCCTGGTAGCCTCATCAAAATACACCTAAGACCTGTGCTGTGAACACTTCTTCTGCTGTTTGGACAATCCTAAGAATAAATCACATATTTCTAAGAAAAACACTGCTGAAAACTTGATGAATCAGTTGCAAGTGCTCACTAAGGTGGGTGTACATCTTGCCCTTTGTAATACAAGCACCTCTTCCATTTTGTACTCACAACCATCTAAAAATGCTTAATCTTATGCTCCTTAAGATTGTGAAAACTGCTCAAGCTCTAAGCTGTAACTGCATCCAGCTTCCCAGGTCTGTGCAGGTAAGTGTGCAACTGGCAACAACTGCTTCTGCTGTAAGCTAGTAAATGGCCAGGAGCAGACAGGAGACTAGATGGATCCAGGAGAGGGCAGAGCCCTGATATACCTCCCCACTCATGGCATTAAAACTCCAGGAGCCTCTCTGAGACTCTGATGACAATGAAGCATGGACAGGAATCCAGGCACATATGTTGAATCACTGCAGTACACACTGCTGAATGCTCAAAATTACATGAGCTGCAAGATATGTGTTACATCTGCTTATAAACACTACCATTCACAGGATAGTACATGTATGCGTGCTACAGAGTCATTCACAACCTGAAAACTGACTTTTGGAAGGGGAAAATAGGAATCTTATGTGCCTGCAGAACAAGAAATGGTAGGTTCTTTCTCTCCAGTCAGCAAACTGCTGCTGAAACAACAGCAATATGAGACCCCCACATTTTCTTTGCAAGTGACTCAGCCTTTCTATCCATAACTGTCTTGAGATGGCATCACGTAGATCTATCAGAATTTTGGTTTTACAGCTGCCAGGGACTTCTGACTGTTTCCATTTCATAAGCTTATACAGAGACTCATGGTTGCCCTCTTTACCATATCCGGAAACAGCCTTAATGCTGAGGAGCCAGTCAAAGAAGCAGGAGTGCTGTTGCCAGCCTCACTGCATACATGACCTGCAATTCTAGCTCTACCATCTAACGGGTGATAGACAGCCTATCCAGGACTCCGTTAATGAGCATGAGAGTCATGGCCCAGTTTCGCCTGGTGACCACCACTATAGGCCATGTGTGCACTGGGCAGCTCTTTTGAACCACTCCTCCCACCTACAAAATGGAGTCCTACCTTGATGGAGTCTCTGTCTGCATGTGGAGAAGCCATCATGTGCATGGAGGAGAGAAGACAGCAGCAGGAGATGAGGAGGAGAAGAGGAAAAAGAAAAATACCAGTTAGTTTACATAAAATTATACATTTATCATACTCGGAAAAAAAGAATTCTAATATCTGTTAAGTAATAAATTGCACAGATGTTAGCTTTTTGCAGTTAATTATTAATATTTCACAGCCAAATTTATGAAACTAGAACTCCACCATTTGAACACACCTTCTAGCTACCAGTAGGTAATAAATACTAAAGCAATTAGCAAGTAATTCTTGCAAATGTTTTTAATTGTTTTTTTTCCTAGAATAGAAGCAGGAGAATTAGAAGAAAAAGAAGAAAACAGAAATGAATGAAGCCGTCCACTCATCTGGCAGCACTCACCTCTTTGGTGATCATTATCATGGTGCTTTTTTTCATCCTTGATTGGGAGGTGTGACTGCCCTCCCAGCGCACTAGACAGTGCCAGAAGGCCAGCACTGCTGCCAATGGGCGGGATGGCTGGAGGCTGCAAGCCCGAAGGGTGCGGAGTCAGAGGTACAGGGAGACCATGTCCATGTGACAAATGCTGGGCCTGGAGTTGTTGCTGCTGTGAAAAATGAAACACAGATATTGAATTTGTTCAGGGAGCACAGGGCTGTTTGCCTGATCCCGTACATCAAACACAACCAGTCAGATCAGCCAATACAACTGACTGACTCAGGTATCAACACTCAACAACATCCTGGCATTTTATAAACGTCTGTATGTTTGGATGCAATACAGTCTGTAAACTTCGGGCTGAAATAACAAAAATGAAAAAAAAAAAAAAAAGGAATTTTCCAGTTTTAGTAAAAATGGTGTTTTATTCCTCTGACAGAGCTATTATATTTTATTCTTGCTAGCAGAAACACACCATGTACACGCCTAATCAAAGCATATGTAACTATAACAGCAGTTATATAATGCAAAAAAAAAAAAAGCAGAAAATTGAGAAAATTAGCGTTAAACAGTTCTCCCAGCGCTACTGCACAGCATGCAGTGAGAGTTAATTTGAAAGAGAAAACCTGAATTAACAATCCAGAAAAGGAAACTGGTTGCAGCCACCGTTTTAAGCCCTTTAAGTGTCCTCAGCGGTACTTGAGCAAATTACTAAAGAAAATCTAATGTAGCAAGGCTTGGGTCCTCCTGTAGGCTTGTTCAATAATGCTGAAATAATTGGGCACTCTGTGCACGTTTAGTGATGCTCGAATGGAAAGCTAGAGGCCTGCCCTTGTACTGTTCTCTAGCTGCTGACTCTGTGTTGTGACAGGTTTATTTGAGTGGGACTGTGATGCATGCACCAGTAACTGCACTGACAAGAGTTTAAAGTCATTTTTACCAGTACACTGGCAACACATAGAGAAAGCCCTTGAGAGGGGCGAATTGGGAGTGCTTGACCTCAACCAGGGCTGCAGCAAGCTCTGTGCTATACTAATCACTGTGGGTAGATAGTTTGTTGCTACTGAATGGGAAGGCCAGAAAAAAAGTTAGCTTAAATGCCTCTCAAGAAAGATATCTAGGTTCAAGGTTTACCCACCGGTTGTCCAACTAATTCCAGCTCATTCAGTAACTAGATTAGCTCTGAAATTTTCTCTTAGCTTTCCAGCAGTCACTTCTTATAGCTCATAGTAAATCAAATCAGAAACCCTCTAAGATCGTTCTCTTCCCTGCATGTCTTCAAAAAGGACTTCGGAAGAGGAAGAAATAAAAACTTGTTTTGCATAAAAACATTCCGTCTGCAATTTCTTACTACACGGCTAAGCTCATACTTCTGTTTTTCATCTGAATATGAGTTCATTTCCCACCTCACATTCTAGCTCTCTAATCAATCAAGAGATAATGTGCAGCCCACCTGATTGTTCCCTCCCCTCTTTAGCATGAGTCTTCACATATGGGTGAGCTGAAAGTGAAAGAAAGCGAGTCACATGCAACATGTCACCTAACTCATGCAGTACACTGCACAGGTACATCCCTCAACACCTTCCTGTGAAGGTACGGATCCTTGTCTTACTTTTATAAATACAGCCCAGGCTCTGAAATCTGAAAGGCGATGGCAAATACATGACACCTGATTTAAAGCAGTGCCGGGAACAGAAGATGAACGACCCAAAAAGAAGTGTGGAAAAAAAACCACAGAGAAACACAAAAAGTAAGGAAAAAAAAAAAAAAAAAAACAAAGAACAAGAAAGCCAGAAAGATTCTTCCAGGAGAAAAAAAGGATCAGACCTCTCACTGCCTGCAATCCTATGTCATTCAAGTAAGTATCCATTCTCACAGATGTACCAAACACATTTTGTTTCTCCGGTGCTCTGATGCAAGGATGCTTCATTGCTCAGAATTTAAAATCAACTATAACAAAATGAAACAAGAGCAAACTGTGTGTTGTTTAGCTTCAGGGTTTGACTGGGGCTTCCTTACAGCAAGGGAACAAGCTGGCAAATTGGATTTGTGGTGGACTAGAGGGATGTCAGAGAAAGAAAGAAAAAAAAGAAGATAAGCAAAGAAACAAAAGGAGTGGACAAAATAACCTGTGATACAGAGTATCAGCTTTCATTTTAAATGCAGAATTCCCCAGTCCTTTTAAAAACATACTATAAACCAGTGCAAGAAGATGTCTGCCTGAATCTGCCAGGGGCTTGAAGCAATGAAAAGAGCCTAAGAATATCAGCAGTGACAGAGCTTCTGGCCTTGTTAACTATTTCAAAGTTGATCAAAAAATGCAAGGAAAATTACACTCACTGCACATTTCTGTACAATCTACAGAGAACCAACTCAATTTGCATTATATGACCTCCTCCACGGATATGGGATGATTTCCAAAGAGCTTGAAGTAAACTGCAATGCAAATGTAATCTTTTGCTGCTCTTTGTTGGGAGTTTCTCTACATAACTCAGCAACAAAGTAGAAGAGATTCTGCATCTTCAATGTGCCAAACATTCTTAACATCTCCCAGACATTATAAATGCACTGAGAGTAGTATGTGTAACTGCACATCAGTGCAGTGGCTTGACACTGCCCAGAACTGCATAGTTGACCAGGAACTGATGATTTCTCCACAGCTTGACTTGCAGAGATCTTTGAAACTAACTGAAGAGAGTGGGGAGGAAAGAAGAAAGCAAGCAAATAAAAGCAACTAAAAAACAATGTTGCACTGACAAAGGAAGACTCTAGTTTTAAAAAAAAAAAAAAAAAAAAAAAAAAAA